GCCCCCAATTTGCAAAAGTTAGTTACCTTGGATGGGAAACTATCATGGAATTCCAGGGATGCAAATTAAACCATCTTGGGAGAAGGCAGTGGCAAGCCATTTCCACTGCCGAGCAAACTACAGGAACATATAGATGAAGTCACTAGGAGTCAGGTCCAGCAGATTGTCCTTTTTAGCTGCATCCTACCAAAAACCCTCATGGAGAGCTAAGATCCCTCTTGTGGGAGGCTACTGGGGAGAGAGAATCTCCCCCAATCAAGTAAAGCTTTCACGAATCCCAGCAATCTAATAGCCCTGTTCTTTCTTTTCTCTTAAAAAAAAAAAAAGGAAGGTAAGTCTCTGAAATAGAAATACCCTATTTCAACCATAATCTCAAAATAAAATATGCATCTCTCAGATAGCTCTGAGAAGGATCTGAGGCAGGATTCATTACAGTCACAGAATATGAAACTTGTGGTTCCCTCATCTGAGTTGCTATGTTTGTTTTTTCATTTATTTATTCATACATCACGTTTATACAGCCGTCCATCTCACACAAAGCAACTTGTTTTTTCATGCAGTTCCCTACACCATCTATGGCTATTACATACATTTTAACCATGCCTCTCTTAAGACAGGAGATATAAACATTTCAGTCTTCACAAACTATGTTTTAGGATATTAATACACATTTACAGTAATCATTGCATAAAGCAGCGATGTAAAACCTAGTTTCTGGGTCCAGTGTTGAACAGTCTTTCATGTCAGCTGAAATGCCAAGAACTTTGCAGTGATTCTTGCTTCCATCCTTGCAACCTGGGGATATATGTTCAGAGGATAACACTTTAAATAAAATCTTCTTAAATGTTCTACGCTCTTAAGATGATAATTTATATCCCAAAGAAAGATCCCAAGAGAAGTCCATACAGCAAATAGATAACTCAATTTTACATGTCAGCAATGACTGTGAGGAATACTCACATCATAAGCAAACCATCCAGCTTCCCCAGAGTCACCCTCTGGGGGAGATGGGTGGCATATAAATTTAATAATAAATAAAATAAATAAATAAAATCCAGCTTCTTATTGGCCTCAAATCAAATCAAATCTTCATTACGGTCAAAGACCAGCATATTTATTGCCTTTCAGTGCTCCAGTTCACTAGAATGGAAGTAGGAATGCCACTCTACAGAGGTGTAGCAATACCAAAAGCAACAAGGACATGTCAGGGAAAGCAAATTTAGCAATCCTACTTGCATGTACTCATCGCCATAGATCCCAGCCAAAGGGTTTACTTGTATGAGTCTATACAGAGGGTGAGGCTATCAATAGCTAGCTACTTGTTATGAATGCTTTGTATTATTTCCAGTAGCAAAGATATCCCAATACTCAGTATCAGTTGCTTACAGAATATGAAATAGGTGGGTGGCACTGTGTTTGTGTCCTGTTTAAAGGCTTCAACAGACATCTTGCTTGCCACTGGGAAAACAGGATGCTGGAGTTTTGATCAAATGCAACACAATTCTCATTATTATTCATACATATGTGTACAGTTAATCCTTTAATTGAAATGAAACAAGAAGTCATTGTTGAGGAAGATATTCCTATGACTTCTATCTTTCATTCTGGTTGAGCAGTCTTCCACAATCTGATGCTGTTTAGCAGCATTCTTAACCAACGTAGTTGCAGGCCACGGGAATTCTGGAAAATTGTACTCAAAACACACTTGAAGGGCACCAATTTGGGGAAATCGGTGCTACAGTAATAAAATTATAACTTTTCCTACAATCATTACCTTTAAAATTCAACAAGGAAACAAATAAATGTTTTACATGGCTAGATATTTATGTATTAAACATTGTTTTTCAAAGTGAGGGAACTGTATCTTACAACCTCCTTCATCCTAGGTGCCGGTGTTACTGACTGCTAGGCCCTCTTGGTTAATTGACAGAAAAATAACTTCTAACTGGAACCTTTATGTGACATTTGATGCTTGTTAAGCTGATGTTCTGTTTATTTTGGAGATGGGGGTAATGGTTCAGGAATGAGGACCAATGCTTCTCTCCCAAACTAAAATTTGATAACACACTTTGATTTGATGGCTGGTGTGGGTCTTCTGGGCTGTGTGGCCATGTTCTTGAAGTTTTGTTTCCTAACGTTTCGCCTTTCGCCAGCACCTGTGACCGGCATCTTCAGAGTACAGGAGCACAGACAGGAGCAGTTCTCTCTGTGCCCAGAGTGATGTGACCTTTTTGTGGGTATTTTTTGAGA